TTTATTGTTAATTTTCGTGTCAAGGACAGCAAGTCGAAAAACCATTCATCGAATGTAACTATATTTAAGCTTTTCTTTAAAAATGAAACGCAAGCCATTTCTTCAATCGAACGATAATACACTGCATTACAAACTCATACGAATTCTCTCTCTCTCTCTCTCTCTCTCTCTCTCTCCCTCCCCCTCTCAAACGATTTATCGATATAAATAGAAGAGCAATGCAGAAGAAGATCGTCACGAATAAAAAATTAGAATAATCTTTGAAAGCTTATTTCTAAATGAGGCTTTGAATTACATGTATATACTCCAAACGAGTACAAAGTACAAAAATCTGAATCAATAACACAACGAGGGACTGACGTCACTGCATGCCAATAGGTTTTGTTGCACGAACTGGGCTGAAATGGAGGCGAAAAGTCGTACAACAACGATGTGCGAATATCTTAATTTTATTATTGTTTGGGACGATGATCTTTAATTTTATTTTGTGTAATCGTGCAAAATTTCCTAAATCTTTCGGGATTACTTATTGTTGATCTGAGTGAACTTCTCCATCGAGTTTACAGTCGCACTGTCGATCAGTCGTCGTGCGATTAAACTCGGACCAAAGTTATCTAAAGTAGAGACTATGTTGAATAGAATGGAGATCATTACAGTTATTAAATTACTTTCCAAAAAAAAAAAAAGAGGAAAAGAAATATTGGGTGTATCCTTTAATACAAGAATACTGTAACAAAGGATTATAATTTTTTCATTCGACGAGCTTTTAAGGAGAGCTTACGAAGTTTTAAAGTTGTTAATAACTAGCAAGGAGATCTTCCATCCCTTCTGAAGAAAAACTATTTCCTGCTTTAAATTATTTATTCAATATTATACAACAACAAAAAATAATTATAGTAAATATGAAAAATGATTAAATAAATGATTTCTGAACTATTGTTCCGGATTTCTCGAATTTGGAAATATTGGAGTTGAGCGTTGAATAAACAACAAAAAATAATTAAATAAATATGAAAAATAATTTAAATAAATTCTGAGCTATTTTTCCGGATTTTTCGAATTTGGAAATATTGGAGTTGAGTGTTAAATAAACTGGGAATGGTATATCGGTGTGATTTTGAAATTTCAAAATAGTCTTTTTGTTACGTCTATTAGAAAAATGCTTAATGGGCATTTGATTCGTATATCAATGATCAACTTCATTCGTCAATGTTTCTTGTCTCTGTCCATATATAGATATATTCTTTTGTCAAATATACAATGACGACTGATCGACCGTGCGTAATAGATCTACTTTCAATCTTAGGACTCAGAACTAAATACAAAAAGTTACCTAATTATCATTACATGTGTATATAACGAGGAGAGATTGATATAATGATATTAAATTATTTTTGTTGAAAATTGAAATGAGCCTGAATAATGATGTCCGATGTTCCGAATTAGAAACATAATTACTAATTTATTTATTATCGCTATGTACCGCCTGGCCAAGTGACTTTGATCATTACAACCAAGTGAAAGCATTATTTATATTGATTTTAAGAAAAACTTTCGACAGTGTGTCATAATGTTCTTCTATCAAAATTGTTATTAATTGATTGTTAACAGCTGTTATAATAATAATAAGAACTTTCCTCATAATAAGTAACTGGAAAAAAAGGAACTAACAACACTATGAGGATTTGATGCTGGATCTATTGCTTTCCACGTGTTGCTCGTGAAACAGTTCGCAAACTATGTTTTGCGTCGTCACTTTTGCAAATAGCGAGCAAACTGATTAATGTGTTCGTTAGGCGTATTTGGAAGTAAATATGGAATAAGTAAAAAAAAAAAGAGCAGCGTACCATGTATTTTCAATCTTTCTTGCAAAAGATGGAAAGTTGCTTAGTTTGTGAAATCAAGCGGTGATTTCTTCTTCCGACTTATAATTGTAGATCAATTCGATCCAACTATTAAAATCATCTTGATCATACATCACGGACAAACACAAAGAGATTTGATAATAATTGTCAACGAGAAGCTTTCGAAAGTGATCACACAAATCAATTATGTATAATAATTATACAGTAAAACATTTACTAAACACAAGTCACTAAACAATTTATCGACTGGTGAGTCAAGGCTTACAACAATTACGAATAAACGAAGATTAATGAATCGTGAAAAAGACAGCTGTTCTAAGTTATTTCTGAAAAATTTATCGACAGACATCTTCTTCTAGATATTTTTGTTCTGACACTTGATACTCGAAAAATGGAATAAAATTGATTTATGTGCAAAAAGGACATTGATTATATTGTTTGTTTCATGTAGTCACAAGAATGGCTATAATTTTTAAACAGCTAAGACCGGTAGAAAGAGTTTTAACACCTAGGATCGGTTAGGTTCCTTTAGAGATAAACTTCCACACTTCTTGATTGCCATTATTCCAAATATTAAACTTCGAAACTTAAATTACATTTCAGTTATTCTGAACTTAAATTAAAGTT